CGGTGACGTGGCGTGCGCTGTGGGCCGCGCGCCACCCCCGCTTCCATCATCCCGCTTCCATCGTCCCCGCGTCCCTCCCTCCGCCCTCGCTCGGGCCGGTGGCGGGAGGCCCCCCCCTGGCGCCCGGCGCCGCCCGGCCCGCTGAGGTGATTTTTCAGATCTCCTCAGGAAAAGGGGGGTCAACTCTGCAGCATCTGCAGTAGTGCAGTAAAAAAGCAGATGAGAGGAGGAGGAGGAGGAGGAGGGGGTACAAACACTCGTACTTCGTCCATCAGCATTGCCATCACAGGGGCGCCGGGAAGAGGCAACTCAAGGCTGATAGGACAGGGCTGAGGGTGACAAGTCACCACTGGATCCTCCTTAGCGTGAGCTGGTTCCCGCTGACTGCCCCAGTGGCCTCTGCCCCTGCTTTCCCATCCCATCCTGTCCCATTCTGTCCCATCCCATCCTCGGTGAGTGTCCCAGGAATAGCTGGGACACCTTGTGGGCACCTTGTGTGTCCAGTCCCACGCTGGACCAGCGAACCAGGGGCTACCTGCACCTGAGCTCGGTTCCAAAACCGGCCCTGTGGGGACAAAGCCATCCCGGGAGGCCACCTTGGTGCTGGGGGCACTCGTGGGGCTTCCCGTGCCAGCGGTGCCATGATGGAGCCCCCTGAGCATGTGTGGGATGGGCAGGCGGATCCTGGGAGTCTCCCGCTGTGTCCCTCCCCTGCACAGCCCGATCCCGTTCAGGTTGAGTTGTCTTAGGAGGGAGGAAGCAGAGGATCGAGGGTGGGAAGAGCCAGAGGAGGGGTCGGCGGAGAGGAGGAAGAGCAGGACAGAATCAAACTGGCTACGGAACAACAGAAAAACAGAACCCAAAAAACAAAAAACGCCTCGTCCATCCCAAACAGAGCGGTTTCGTACGAGATCGGCTCGTTTTAGCGGCACCCCGCCGGGTTTCTGCGCCATGTGCGGGGAGGGAGTGGGGGGCTCGTTGTGGCAAAGCTCTCATGGACATAACAAGACAGGTCGCTCTCCAAGAACGGGTGAGCTGGAGGAGGAGGAGGAGGAGGGAGAGGAGGAGGAGGAAGGGCTCGGTGGCGTGTGCGGGTTCGGCGGGCAGGGAGATGGGCAAGCAGGCTGGCGAGGTGGGGGCAGTGGCGGTGAGGGGGCGGGACATGGGGCACGGG